AATGCTGAGTAAGTATCTATACAAGCAATCAACACATGAAACAGATGAAATGTTCTTTATTAGGGATAATGTCATCTGTCTGAGCTTCGTTTCCTAATAGGCTGAAGAAAGCACTGATTAATCAGTCAAGATTAGAGACATCATATTATCGGATTTAAAGGCACAGATTATCAGAAATACAAATGGAACATCTTTAATTAGTGCTTAATTCACCCTGAGCAACAACATGAGGTGAGTCCGCTTTACCAACGGTAATTCTCTCCCTGTGCTCCAGGTTCCATTCAGTTCTGTCCCAGGGCTCCGATCTGTAATTTAATTCAATGTCAGTCTAATTCTGTTACCCATTTTCTAGGGTCTGTCTAATTCTGTCACTGCACTCTAGGATTTGTCTAATTCTATTCCTTTGTTCTGGATTCTGTCTTGCGTTGGGTTCTCTGCTCCTCCTATAGTTTAGAGAAGGTTACGTCTTTTACAGATTTTTTCTCCAGAAGGGCCTGGGCCGATTTCAGGACATCGTCTGTCTGCAGCATGCTCATGTTCCAACACACCTGTAACCCAAACAAGAAACAGTAAACACTGGGAGAATTGTCACTGGAGGGGGTACTGGTGCCAGGCTGGGGAAGACACCAACCATGTAATCAAGGCTCTCCTGCACCGAGTGGCTCTGGGAATAGACCAAGTTCACTTTGGTTCCCTGGACAGCAACCGGACTCTTACTGGCAATCTCGGATGCCAGATCAAATGCAGCGAGGAGGAGGGCGGATTTATCGGGAAAAACACGACTGGAGGAGAAAGAAAAAAATACAATGTGGCATTACAACACACAGGGGTATAATAAGCACATTAATCAAAATGACATTAAAGGGTGACTCTATCCACCCTGTCCATTAAGTTTTTCCTGTTCAAAAATGCTTAAATGGTTACTCCGAGTACCCCTCCCCGTAGTGACAAAGTCCTCCTCTCTAACGTATTTCCCACTGCAGTGAGGGGAGTCCACGTCACTGGGAAAAAAGTTAGGTTGAAAGGAGAACTTGGAAATGGCATGGTATCACAGGTAAGATTATGAACTAGTCCGGGCAACCTCAACTAAAAACAGGCAGGCATGGGCAAGAAACATACAGCGTGCTAACACCAGACGCAATGATAGGCCGGAGTTAGCTATACACTGCATGCTAACATTGTACGCCATTACAAGTCTTTTCAAGTTACACACAGCGTGCTATCCTTGGACGCCATGACAGACCTGGGCGAATTACACACAGCGTGCTAACACCGGACGCCATGATAGGCCTGGGCGAGTTATACACACAGCATGCTAACACCGGACGCCATGATAGGCCTGGGCGAGTTATACACACACAGCATGCTAACACCGGACGCCATGATAGGCCTGGGCGAATTACACACAGCATGCTAACACCGGACGCCATGATAGGCCTGGGCGAGTTATACACACACAGCATGCTAACACCGGACGCCATGATAGGCCTGGGCAAGTTATACACAGTGTGCTAACACCAGACGCCATAATAGGCCTGGGCGAGTTATACACACAGTGTGCCAACACCAGACGCCATGACAGGGCAAGTTATGTATACTATTAGAAAAATTGCACTATTAATGTGCACTATTAGATAAATTATACTATTTATGTGCACTATTATTTACATTATACTATTTATGTGCCCTTTTAAATGGCATTATGTGCACTATTAGATAAATTACACTATTTATGTATACTATCAGAAAAGTTACACTACTTATGTGCACTAATAGATAAATATCATATGATACACCACCAGCGCAGGGAGTAAGATCACATCTTGAGTACACAAGGTTGGGTCTCAACATCCTTCAATCCTTAGAGTGACACCTACTGGCAGATATAAGAATGACACATGTACATTTGCACCCTCTCTGGAGGTGATCTCTCCTCACTCCCTCACCCCAATAAATTCTACTGATGCACTTACTGTTTATAGGTGTTATAGGTGAGAAATGCAACAAAGGAAGAATAATGCATACTTAACTCTTCAATACTTCTTGTACTGAGGCAGGAGATGAGCCCAAACGGGTGAACAGTCAAATGATAATTATTTCCCAGAAAAAGTAACGCTGGTGGACAGGATTGTGATAAACCAGTCCTTTCCATGGGTCGCTGGGGAAAGGAAGCTAAAGAGGATTGTTTTCCATGGGGGACCATAGCTTAAAGAAAACTTTCTATAACTGAACAATTAAGTGTCCTGTCCAGTCTGCTGGGGGTAAACATACCCATTAGTGATGCCATGCTAAGCCAGGAACAACATTATACATAATATAATCTTTATGAAATACGAACACTGACTGCATTGGAATTTCATTGAATCCAAGGATTCCATAAGAGAAAAGTTAACAAAACGCAGAGCTCCACTAACAACTTTTGTCCAATCCCAGCAGACATCGGGATTCCGGCATTGTCTCACTCATTGCAGGATGTGATCTACGGGGGCTCCTGAGGTTTTGCAGGATGTGATCTACGGCGGGCTAAAGGTTTGGCATGGGCCTCCAGACTTCTTGTGCATACATGGGGGTACAGCACTGACATGGCTCCTGGCAGACGAGGAGGCTCACCTGCATGAGGACAGCAATTACCGCGAGGTACATCTTTAGGTAAAACTTACCTTTGACTGCACCCCCATGACCACTGGACCCTAACCAGAGATGCCATCTTCACGTTTTGAAAAGAGCCTGAAAGGGACAGACTAGCTTTAAATTCTCAGAATAATTCTGGAAGCAAACGCCAATACCTGACCAATCCGCTGCTCTCAGCTTCATTAGCCATCATCTTCCGCGCAGTGAGGGCGAGTTCATTCACCAGGCTGCAGGAGGGGAGAAGGTAAAATGAACCCACTGACACACCTTGCCCTGTAAAACACAGATACCTACCCTCTCCCACCCCTCCCCAATTTATTACCCGCCGTACCTCATACTTCCGATGATTCTAGGAAGTCGTTGCAGGGTCCCAACATCAGCGGCCAGACCGATATCCACCTCCTGCCAAACAGAGAGAGAAATCCAACAGATGCCATCTTACTGTATGGAACCCCACCTCCCATGTATGGATTAATCTCATCTTCTACCACTTCCTATCTGTCCCTAGGGAAGCTCTCGGTCTCACTGCCCCAGCAATCATCCAGTAAAGTCATATTGTCAGCTCTTTATTAGACCAGAATGGAGTGAGGTTTACAGATTTACTGGAGCTTATGCTGCACAATGTGAGGATCTCCACACATTATTTTTAACCCATGTAGCCATGTGTCACACACGTCCCTTTAACTCTCACTGAAGGAGCAATCAATTACCTTAACTTGAAACCAGGCGTCCTGTGTGCAATACCGAATGTCACAAGCAGAGATGAGATCCACTCCTGCAACAAAGACACAGAGTCACAACACCCACTGTCTGTGCCCTGTGTTTACCAATTAATTCGCTAAAGGTTAAAAAGGACCCTCTATGCAGGAGCTGGCCCATTTCGTAATGCAATTCAAAACACAGATGACAAAAATATATACCGGTATGTATATTCTGTTATTAAAAATATATTTTTTTATTATTTATTTGTGCACTACAGGGGTTTCTGTGAGATTAAATAGTAATAAGCACTATAACCACTACTGCGCACCATAAGTGTTATGGTGGCAGGAGTGGCCTGTAGTTATACCATTTTTTAACAGTTTGACTTATTACCTGGGGTCTGCCGGACTCTGCACCCCGCATCCATTACCAACGCTGGAGTGCGGAAAGTTCCTAGATAGGAGCTTCCATTAGCTCTCCTGAGGGCCCTTGGCTCATTGGCTGAGAGCATCACCTTAATCAACAATAAATTAATAAAAATATTCCATCCAATATGACTTTATATAATGTGTGTGGGTGCCACGAAAGTCACTTTATTAGATTCAGTTAATGTAGCTTTATATAAACTACAATCACATAATACCTTACACTGCTCACCCTGATCAAGTAGAAGATGTGTAATACTATCTGGATAAGATGTCTGGATCAGGTGTGCCCAGAGTCACTGAACACATCTATATTATAATAACACAAACACTTAGAAACTTCTTTGACATGAGATCTGCCAATTAGTCCAACTGACATATTCTATATGGAGACATCAGATTAAATATTATTGGTGAAATATTTAATCAGTTCCTAGTTAATGTTAAATCAGCTTTGACTTTACCTGTGTGAATACTAACAATATGCGAAATCTAAGCTAAATGTCACAATGCACAATGACTCCCAGAGGGCTGTTCTATACTTCTCCTTAATCCTGACTGCAGCCCTAACATTCCCAGCCCAAAGATGTTTCTGTGATACCACCAGCTCATTTTAACATGTCTCACCTCCACCGATGCACCCGCCGTGGACAGCAGCAATCACAGGCTTTGGGCACTGAAACACAAAATACACAACGTGATCCCACCGATACTGTAACAGACACTGCCTCACTCCCTGGCAGAGATTCCGTGGCATTGGCCGTACAAGCTGAACATGGCATTGGCCGTACAGGCTGAACGTGGCATATGGAACCAATAGAAAACAGCACCCACGGGGCAGTGTAAAATAATTATGGACAGAAAATAAAAGAGTAATAGTGGGGAGAGCTTGGTCAGTGCTAGGTAAAGGTAAAGGAGAAATTTTTTTTTTTTTAAATAATAATACACATTTAGGACAATTTGGGAATTTCTAATTTCTGTGTCTTCCAACCTTCTCAATGACGGAAAAGGATTCCTGGTAAGTGGATATTTTCCTGCGCAGTTCCCAGGCTGTTCTTGCCGTGTCAGTGTCCCTTGGTTGTATAAAGTCACTCCCCAAGTCCATCAGATCTATTCCTAAACACAATAAAAAAGTGATCCCGAGCCTTCCAAAGCTTCTACCCCTCCTCATCTCCAGCTTCCACCCCTACCAAGCCCTCGTTCCACCAAATACCCCTTCCAGCAGCCCCCACCTCCTTCCAACCCTCCTACCCTCACGTCAATGGATCCAATTAGAAAGAGGCTGTATACCTGATGTAAACATTTTTCCAGCTCCCGAAATCACGACCACTCTACAATCTGGATCATCAGAGATTGCACGAAAGCATAGAACCATCTCACTGCGGAACAAATGGCCGGAATAGTGTCACAGCGAGAAACCAAAGCAATGGGTCACACGTAAAGTGTATTACTGTATCAGTACACACAGTGAGTATTCCTGAATTAGTCACAGAGTGTGTAAGGTGTATGACTGTATCAGTACACACAGCGAGTATTCCTGAATTAGTCACAGAGTGTGTAAGGTGTATGACTGTATCAGTACACACAGCGAGTATTCCTGAATTAGTCACAGTGTGTGTAAGGTGTATTACTGTATCAGTACATGCAGCGAGTATTCCTGAATTAGTCACAGAGTGTGTAAGGTATATTACTGTATCAGTACACGCAGCGAGTATTCCTGAATTAGTCACAGAATGTGTAAGGTGTATGACTGTATCAGTACACACAGCGAGTATTCCTGAATTAGTCACAGAGTGTATAAGGTGTATTACTGTATCAGTACACACAGTGAGCATTCCTGAATTAGTCACAGAATGTCTATGGTGTATGACTGTATCAGTACACACAGTGAGTATTCCTGAATTAGTCACAGAGTGTGTAAGGTGTATTACTGTATCAGTACACACAGTGAGTATTCCTGAATTAGTCACAGAGTGTGTAAGGTGTATGACTGTATCAGTACACACAGCGAGTATTCCTGAATTAGTCACAGAGTGTGTAAGGTGTATGACTGTATCAGTACACACAGTGAGTATTCCTGAATTAGTCACAGTGTGTGTAAGGTGTATTACTGTATCAGTACATGCAGCGAGTATTCCTGAATTAGTCACAGAGTGTGTAAGGTATATTACTGTATCAGTACACGCAGCGAGTATTCCTGAATTAGTCACAGAATGTGTAAGGTGTATGACTGTATCAGTACACACAGCGAGTATTCCTGAATTAGTCACAGAGTGTATAAGGTGTATTACTGTATCAGTACACACAGCGAGTATTCCTGAATTAGTCACAGAGTGTGTAAGGTGTATTACTGTATCAGTACACACAGTGAGTATTCCTGAATTAGTCACAGAGTGTGTAAGGTGTATGACTGTATCAGTACACACAGTGAGTATTCCTGAATTAGTCACAGAGTGTGTAAGGTGTATTACTGTATCAGTACACACAGTGAGTATTCCTGAATTAGTCACAGAGTGTGTAAGGTGTATTACTGTATCAGTACACACAGTGAGTATTCCTGAATTAGTCACAGAGTGTATAAGGTGTATTACTGTATCAGTACACACAGTGAGCATTCCTGAATTAGTCACAGAATGTCTATGGTGTATGACTGTATCAGTACACACAGTGAGTATTCCTGAATTAGTCACAGAGTGTGTAAGGTGTATTACTGTATCAGTACACACAGTGAGTATTCCTGAATTAGTCACAGAGTGTGTAAGGTGTATTACTGTATCAGTACACACAGTGAGTATTCCTGAATTAGTCACAGAGTGTGTAAGGTGTATTACTGTATCAGTACACACAGTGAGTATTCCTGAATTATTTTATAAATGTGTTGCTATTATACACTCTACAATAGTGCAAAAATAAGAATAATAGAGTTAGAACTTATACGAATTCATATAGAGAGAAAAAAGAGTATAATTATAAATATAAGCCAGACTCCCCAAATTATCCTTATAGGAAAAGAGCAAATACTGTCAAATATTCAGAACGGACTCAGTGGAAAACACCAGAGAATAGGAAACAATATAATTGGACAAAAGTAGAACCAAAAAATAAATATCAACAGAATAGAAATAGACAGGGTAGGAGTCCGCCCTATGTACAGCAAAGAAAGGATACCGAACTAAGGAACCGTTTTGAAATCCTTTCAGATGATAATTTACAATCAGAACAAAAAGATTTTTTAGGGGAGAGAAAAGGAAGGGTAACCTTCTCACCTCAAAAAAGAAGGAGATACAGGGATATAGAGGATGTAGAGGAGGACGAGAGCTACAGTATAGGAAAAAGAGGAAAAAGAGGAAGGACATCAAATTGGAGGGAGTAATAAATCTCTCTAAGTATAACCCCACTAAAGATGAAATTAGGATTCTAAATAAGGGTCTTAAATTTGCCCCCAATGTAGGTTTTAATTCTTTTTCAGCGTATGTGGATATGCTAAAATATTCTAGGAACTTGACATTAAAAAGGTTTTTTCTATAAATAAATGTGACAATAAGATAGAAGATAAAGATCATACCAGTTTAAGAAATAGATCTACATTCTATCCAAGAAATTATAGGACAAGTGCTATAGATATGTTCGAGAAATGCATTTAGAAGATTTTGAGGAACTAAATACAAGTAATAATAAGAAAAGAAGACTTCATAATCTCAGCTTTAGTGAGAGGAGATCTTTACAAGAATTAAGGACTAATAAGGATATAGTCATTAAGCCGGCGGACAAGGGGGGGAGTATAGTAATACAAAATACAGAGGACTATTTGAAAGAGTGTAATAAACAATTAGGGGAAGTAAAAGTATATAAATGTTTAAAAAAGGACCCTACTCAAGAAATTAAAGAATCTTTATATGTATTATTAGAAAAGGGTAGAAATACAGGAGTCCTTAGCGAGAAAGAATATAATTTTTTAAAAGTTGAGCATCCAAGACTACCGGTTTTTTATACATTACCAAAGGTACACAAAAATATTAGATGCCCCCCAGGAAGGCCAATCGTTTCGGGGATAGGGTCAATATCGGCTAATTTATCTAAATATGTCGATATATATGGCTCCAAGATCTAGTAAAGATAATCCCATCTTATCTGAAGGATACTACAGAAGTAATAAAAATCCTAAAGAAAATAAAATGGGAGGATTCGTTTATACTTGTTACTAGTGATGTCTCTTCTTTATACACCTCAATCACTCATGATTTAGGGTGTAGAGAGATTAAAAAGACTCTAGAAGAATCTGGTAAGTTTAGTCATTCCCATGTAGAATTTTTAATAGATAGCATACGATGGATTTTAAATAATAATTATTTTTTCTTCAATTCCCAATTTTATCTTCAATGTCAAGGCACCGCTATGGGGACTAGGTTCGCCCCCAGCTACGCTAATTTATTTATGTCAAGTTGTGAAAATATTAATATTTATAACAGTTGCGAATGGGGGGCGGACCTAGTCTCCTATTACAGGTACATTGACGATATGTTTTTTATATGGAGAGGTACCGAGTCAAGTTTAGAAAATTTTCTAAATAAATTGAATGCAAATGACTGGGGGATTCATCTTACTAGTTCTCACAGTAAAAATAACATTAGCTTTCTGGATTTGGATATCTATATAGAAGGAGGGAGTATAAAAACTAGAAACTATTTTAAAAAAGTTGATGCAAATAGTTATGTGCTATATAATAGTGGCCACTATTCCCCTTGGTTAGACAATATTCCAAAAGGACAACTACAACGTCTGAGAAGGAATTGTACAGAAATAGATGTTTTTAAAGATCAAGCAAGTATCCTTATGGATAAATTTACGGAAAAGAAATATCCGAAAAATATATTAAATAGAGCATATGAGGAAGTAATTACACTTGATCAGGAAGATTTAATTGTGGGACAAAAGAACAGATTGACTGAAGTAAAAGATATAAAGATACCCCTAGTATTTGATTTTAATAGTGATTCTAGAAAAATTAGATCCATAATCAATAGACATTGGCCTTTATTAAAGAAAGACAAAGATTTGGAAAAATTTTTACCAGAGAGACCTTTTATCACTTTTAGAGGTGCCCCAAATTTTAAAAGACTCCTTACCTTTAATCATCCTAGAAAAGAAGTTAGAACAACGTTTTTAAATAATAAAAGCGGTTTTTATTCATGTGGAAAGTGTATGGGCTGTAAATGCAGTAAAAATAGAACTTTAAAAGGAATAAGCAAATTTAAAGCAAGAGAAAAAGAAGAGGAATTTGTTATAAAAGATTTTATTACTTGCTGCAGTAAAAATGTTGTCTATTTGCTGATTTGCCCATGTGGGTTACAATACGTGGGTCGAACAATACGTCCCCTTCACAAACGGATTTATGAGCATGTATATAATATAAAACGTGGCTTTGAGCAACACAGTGTGTCAGCCCATTTTAATAAATACCATAAAAGGGATCCAAATGGGTTAATTTTTTTAGGAATTCAAATAGTTAATAAATCTTGGAGAGGAGGAGATCATATAAATGCAATAGGTAAAGAAGAAATGAAATGGGTACACCGTTTAGGAACTTTGGAACCGAGAGGTTTAAATATAGAATTTGATTTATATAATTTTTTATAATATATATTGATATTTTTTAGTATGTTTTAATTATTATAGTTAAGAGATACTTTTAGTTTTTTAATCTATAGGCTTATGTTTTTTATGTATGTGTCTAATAAATGTGTTTTATAATAAATTAGTTTTTCTCATATGCAAGAAAAAATTTGGTTTAGGAGATATGACCCTGGGAATGAATAATTGTATGAAGATTTCTGTTAAGGTATTAAGGGGTTACACTGGTAACCAATAATGAGGACTTAATAGGTGGACATACACCTGTGAAAACGGACTTAAAAGCAAGACAGCAGCAGAATGGAAGTGTGATCTGAGGAAGCCGATTTTGTGGCGAAACGCGTCATCACGTACGTCCCGTGGTTACGTCATTAGGCTCCGCCTCCAGGAAGTGTTTGCGGTACGGTGCTAGCCGGCAGCGAAACTGTATGCAGTACGCCTTCCAAAGAGAGACTGAGTGAGCAAAGCGATACCACTTGGGGGACTATTTTTAATATTGTGAAGATTTATTTGGAAATAAAAAAGTGTTTCTTTCAACTTGCTGCTGTCCTATGACTTGTTGGCTCTACACAAGAAGCGGATAAAGTTAGAGCAGACTTCTCTGCTCTCCACTTGTGAGTTTAACACTATTCATTGTTCTAATAACAAAATTTATAATACTGTATTACACTATGTTCTCTTATTTATTTTTTATACATATGTATGCATAACTGGAGTAACCAGACCTAAGGTACATATAGCGGGGTATTGTAAGTGCTCCGTTTTTCTTACTAATTTTTCACCAATACACTGATATAAAAGTGGTATTTGTAAATTACCAATTTTCACCAATATATTGGTATAAAAGTGATATTTGTACACTTGCACTTTTTTGCACTATTGTAGAGTGTGTAATAGCAACACATTTATTAAATAGAGTTTGTGTGTTTTTTTGAAGCACTGGAGTGTTTTTAAAGGAACATTGCACTTTTCTTGTCTTAAAGACACAGCGCACCCTTTTTTTGTACTATTGTATTTTTAGTGTTTTATGGGCTATTGCACTTTATAAGGGAGCTGCTTTATAGGTTTTATGGTTGTTATTATTTTAGACGTGTATTGAGCGCCTTTTTTTACTTGTCTTCTCTCTTGTAGTATTCCTGAATTAGTCACAGAGTGTGTAAGGTGTATGACTGTATCAGTACACACAGTGAGTATTCCTGAATTAGTCACAGAGTGTGTAAGGTGTATTACTGTATCAGTACACACAGTGAGTATTCCTGAATTAGTCACAGAGTGTATAAGGTGTATTACTGTATCAGTACACACAGTGAGCATTCCTGAATTAGTCACAGAATGTGTATGGTGTATGACTGTATCAGTACACACAGTGAGTATTCCTGAATTAGTCACAGAGTGTGTAAGGTGTATTACTGTATCAGTACACACAGTGAGTATTCCTGAATTAGTCACAGAGTGTGTAAGGTGTATTACTGTATCAGTACACACAGTGAGTATTCCTGAATTAGTCACAGAGTGTGTAAGGTGTATTACTGTATCAGTACACACAGTGAGTATTCCTGAATTAGTCACAGAGTGTGTAAGCTGTGTAACTATGTTAGTATATACTGCCAAACTAGTGCACTGGGAGTGTACATTGTATGACAGTCTCCTTTACCTCCAGAAACTTTTGTTCATAGCGTTTCTCTTCTCCGGTCGATTAATCTCCACGTGTAAGACATGTTTGGCTTCTGTTGTGACTTTAAGGGTTTCGTACTGATACTTGGGTACTTCTACCTCTGACGCCATATTGCGCACTCCCAGGAATGCTCCACGGAGTTCTGAGGAATGGAATTACTATAACAAACCTGCATTCCAAACACCACAGTGCCCCTGTCCCTAGGAAAATACAGCATACAAGATCCAGTGCACTCACTCAGTCACTAAACAGCAATTTCAAGTCTCATAGAATGTAATAGTTTTATTTAATAACACCTCACCTAGGCAAAAAAGAATGGGGGATACAGATCCCCCCCCCCCCTGCGTGCCCTCAAAACTGAATACAAGTTGTACTTACCTTATTCCAGCTCTGTGGTCCCCTTGCTGCTCTTTACCTCTGCCTTCGGCGAAGTCATCAATGAGGTATGGCCTCCTCCATGATGATCCAATCCCAATGCTCCTCACAGAGCATGCGTATCGAGCACCAAACACCCAATCAAAGCTCAGCTATAGGAAAGCAGTGAACCCATGCTTTGCCATGGGGCGTCCGCATCACGTGATGGAGTTTTACTCGGTCTGTGCTGAGGACTCGTCTATAGTGGCTTTCAGTTGGACAGCAACTGGATGTGGATTTAATCCAGCAATGTAAACATTGACATTTCAAAAAGAAGAATGACATGGCAGGGTTACAACGACAGGACCACTGCACTCAGCCATCATTGAGATGACGTAACCAAAGTGACTTTAGTGATGGTTTAAATAGGGGAACTTCTCTGGCATTTACACCATTGAATAAAAGACTGAAAATCACCTATAGTTTTCTTTTCACGAGAAGCTCTGTTTTCTTTTAATGGACACTCCAGGCACCCAGACCACTTCTGCTCATTGCAGTGGTCTGGGTGCCAACTCCCATCCCCCTTAACCCTGCAAGTGTAATTATTGCAGTTTTTATAAATAATAATTACCTTGCAGGGTTAAGTCCTCCTCTAGTGACTGTCTATCAGCTAGTCACTAGAGGGACTTCTGGCTTCTTAGACGACTTTTTGTCGTCTAAACGATGCTGGACGTCCTCACGCTATGCATTAGGCCCACCAGCGTCGCAGGAATCCCCATAGGAAAGCACTGAATAATACTTTCCTATGGGGAGGTCTAATGCGCACAGCCATTGCCGCGCATTCGCATTAGTTCTTCCCCGCCGGCTGACGTCGGTGGGGGAGGAGCGTGGGCGGAGCCTGACCCAGCACCGAGGGACAGCGCGCTGGATTCAGGTTTTAACCCCTTAGGCAACATGGGATGGGGGGTGGGAGGGAGAGGGGCACTGCAATGCTAGGAAAACGGATATGTTTTCCTGGCACTGGAGAGTCCCTTTAAATTTCTCCTAAAGATTTAGCAAATGACATCATAATTCAGTTCAGACAATGCAAAGACAGATCAAACATTTAAAATGAAGAGGAGAAATAGACACAGTGTTTCATGTCTCCTCCTCTCGGTCTGCTCACTCTATGGGGCTTATAACAATGATTGAGCCAAGATGGAGGCGTCGAGTTATAGGATAAAGAACGTTGGATTTCTGCATTTAATGTTATTTTTCACACCGTACAGATATATATATCTGTTACATATAGGGATAACTAAACATTATATTACAAACCCTGGGAGGTGATCGTTCCCCTTTAACACTCAAAACCGATATACTATAGGCACTACAAAACTATAATAATTATGATCTACTTTTTTCCTCCGTATTCTGGTACTAAGGAAGTTAAATTTTACAGAAGATGGGGCCAGGAGTTCATTTGTTCTCCTATAAAATAATGCTCTACCACTCTTTATTGTGTCATCACGTCAGTCCCTACGTATAAACTGACACAATAAAGAGTCCATTAATGGCCCTAGACCGTTTGTGTTGGATAGTAATGACTGTTGTGGATGGGATCAGATTGGGGATAATTAATGTGGGTACAGCCCGGTTATTAAAATAAGCTCATTGTGCAGCGTCCGGTATTGACCACAGGAATTCTATCTGGACTATGACCTCTGTAAACAAATTCAGAACTATGGACTCGTGACTGTCTTGCTGTGATTTATAACCAGCCTTTGAAATGCCTATAACTCAGTTTTTGGCCCCTGTGGAAGAATAGTCTAGGAATCGGCCGTTCTGCGACGCAGGGTGTTAGTGACTAGGGACTCGCTCAGTTTGGCCAGGGATATATGGTCATTACCTGTGACAGCGGTGATCTCCAGGCAGTTACAGACACAGTTACAGACAGAGACTCGAACTTGTTACTGCGACAAAGTTCAGAGTTTTAAAGGGTGGAGACAGAGGGGTGGATATATGCATAAGTGCAGCATGCAGGGGGTTAATAAAGAATTAAGACCAATGATAGACACTGTATACAGAGAGCCCCCGCCCCCAGCCATTAAACGGTTTACAGACAGCCCCCCCCCCCCAAACATGACACTGTGTACATAGACCCCCCTCAAACATGACACTGTATACAGAGAACCCCCCAGCCATCACACTGTATACAGAGAGCCCCTCCCCCAGCCATGACACTGTATACAGACAGCCCCCCCAAACATGACACTGTATACATAGAGCTCCGTCCCCCAGCCATTAAACCGTATACAGACAGCCCCCAACATGACACTGTGTACATAGACCCCCTCAAACATGACACTGTATACAGAGAACCCCAGCCATCACACTGTATACAGAGCCCCTCCCCAGCCATGACACTGTATACAGACAGCCCCAAACATGACACTGTATACATAGAGCTCCGTCCCCAGCCATTAAACCGTATACAGACAGCCCCCAAACATGACACTGTATGCAAAGACCCCCAAACATGACACCGTATGCAGAGAGCCCTCCCAGCCATCACACGGTATACAAGAGAGCCCCAGCCATCACACTGTATGCCCCCAGCCATCACAGCTGTATACAGAGAGCCCCCAGCATCACACTGTATACAGAGAGCCCCAGCCATCACACTGTATACAGAGAGAGCCCCCAGCCATCACACTGTATACAGAGAGCCCCCAGCCATCACAGCTACAGAGGCCCAGCCATCACACTGTATACAGAGAGCCCCCAGCCATCACACTGTATACAGAGAGCACACTGTATACAAGCCCCCAATACACTGTATACAGATTGCCCCAGCCATCACACTGTATACAGAGAGCCCCCAGCATCACACTGTATACAGAGAGAGCTGTTCAGCCATCACACCAGAGAGCAGCATCACACTGTATACAGAGCCCCCAGCCATCACACTGTATACAGAGAGCCCCCAACCATCACACTGTATACAGAGCCCCAGCCATCACACTGTATACAGAGAGCCCCAGCCAATCACACTGTATACAGAGGCCCCCAATATCCCCACTGCAAGGCCTATCACACTGTATACAGAGAGCCCCCAGCCCCCAGCCATCACACTGTATACAGAGCCCCCCCAGCTATCACACTGTATGCTATCACACTGTATACAGAGAGCCCCAGCCATCACACTGTGAGAGCCCCAACCATCACACTGTATACAGAGAGCCCCCAGCCATCACACTGTATACAGAGAGCCCCAGCCATCACACTGTATACAGAGAGCCCCCCAGCATCACACTGTATACAGAGAGGTTAGCCCAGCTATCACACTGTATACAGAGAGCTCCAGCTAATACACTGTATACAGAGAGCCCCAGCTATCACACTGTATACAGAGAGAGGCTATCACACTGTACAGCCATCACACTGTATACAGAGAGCCCCCAGCCATCACACTGTATACAGAGAGCCCCCCAGCATCACACTGTATACAGAGAGCCCCCAGCATCACACTATACAGAGAGCCCCCATCACACTGTATACAGAGGCTCCCCAGCTATCACACTGTATACAGAGAGAGCATCACACTGTATACAGAGAGCCCCCCCCATCACACTGTATACAGAGAGCCCCCCCACACTGTATACAGAGAGAGCTGTATACAGAGAGCCCCACCATCACACTGTATACAGAGAGCCAGCACACTGTATACAGAGAGCTGTATACAGAGCTTATCACACTGTATACAGAGTATCACAGCAGACCATCACACTGTATACAGCCCACTGTATACAGAGACTGTACCATCACACTGTATACAGAGCCCACACCAGCCATCACACTGTATATACAGAGAGCTGTACCTTTCCTCACCAGCCCTCTCAGTGCTGTCACAGCCATGGCATATACAGAGACATCCTAATACACAGACAGACTGGATTCACTTTCCCAGGTGTCCAGAGGTCAGTGGCTGGCAACGGCCATCTTGTGTTTGGCAATGGGAACTTCCATTGACTGGAGCAGCTGCAGCCAATCAGAACATGGGAGAGTTAAATTTCACAGTCACTTTCAGTACACAGGAAACCTGCGCCCCCTGCCGGCCGGACAGCGAACTGCATGGAGCCCCCTGCCGGCCGGACAGCGAACTGCATGGAGCCCCCTGCCGGCCGGACAGCGAACTGCATGGAGCCCCCTGGCGGCCGGACAGCGAACTGCATGGAGCCCCCTGCCGGCCGGACAGCGAACTGCATGGAGCCCCCTGCCGGCCGCACAGCGAACTGCATGGAGCCCCCTGCCGGCCGCACAGAGAACTCCATGGATACACTTTCTGTCAAAACTTGATGAAAAGATTATACAGCCCCTTTATGTCACTCTGCCCCCCCAGCCCCTTGGTGTGTTTCTTTCTCCACCACCCCATCCCCTTGGTGTGTTTCTTTCTCTGCCCCCATCCCCTTTGTGTGTTTCTTTCTCTGCCCCCCATCCCCTTTGTGTGTTTCTTTCTCTGCCTCCCCAGCTCATTTGTGTGTTTTTCTCCGCCCCTAACCCATTTGTGTGTTTCTACCCACCCTTTGTGTGTTTGTTTCTCCGCCCCCCAGCCCCTTTGTGTGTTTATTTTTCTGCCCCCACAGCCCCTTTATGTGTTTCCACCCACCCTTGTGTCACTTGTCTCATTTGTAGCGTGACAGCATGGCACAATCTTTATCCTCTACCTGGTGTAAAAATGAGCTGCTTGCCATGTGCGAGTTGCTTCATGTCAGATTGGGTAAAGGATAAAGATCCTCCACGGCGGTCCACGCAGCTGCTCTACACTAAGTGATTGACAGGAGGTGGAGTGCTGTGCGCTTCCCTCCTGCCGGTCACTCAGACATTGCACCCCCTGGCCGGTGCATGCTATGGCAACTGGCCCTGGTTATGGCGCATGGAGTACTTGGTCCCTCTCCCTGCATTCAGTGTTAGACCCTTTTCAAGCAGTTGACAACTGAATAAGGGTAATCCTCGGGAGGCTAGTGCCCATGCTGTGCTAATCATAGGGTCTCCATGACACTGACTGAATAGCAGAGTTTAACTCAGACAGCCACCAGAGGTGCGTTAACCTTACAATAATTTCAGATGCCGGGAGAGGGCACCCAGATCATTTCATTGAGATAAAGTGTCTGGTGCCTATACTGTCCCTTTAAGACCAATACAGTATAGCTGATCTGGGAGATTTTTCCCATTTTACTTTTTTGACAATTAGGGATTATTCTTGCTTAAAGTGACCGAATAATCTAAGTTTCATTAAAGGACCACTATAGTGCCAGGAAAACATACTCGTTTTCCTGGCACTATAGTGCCCTGAGGGTGCCCCCACCCTCAGGGACCCCCTCCCGCCCGGCTCTGTAAGGGGGAAAGGGGTAAAAACTTACCTTTTTCCAGCGCTGGGCGGGGAGCTCTCCTCCTCCGTTCCTCCTCCGATCCGCCCCGTCGGCTGAATGCGCACGCGCGGCAAGAGCTGCTCGCGCATTCACCAGCTGACCCAAATCCTCATGCAGAAAGGTAAGTTTGTAACCGCAGGTGGTTCCCTTATTTACCACTATAATGTCTTAAAGCATAGAACTTAGTAGGGCTAACCATACAGATATCTTAGCCATAATTTTATATAGTTAGTAAGAGATCCTCTATTTAACATATATAAATAATTGAGAATACAATATAAAATAAGGATTGTCTTGGAAGCAATAGTTTTGTCTTTTTGGATATTTATTATATAAAAATATAAATATAAAATCCATTATAGCAGAGTTTATAAGATTAAATTACATGCTTGCAAATATCATGAATAGGTTAACATACCCTTCTGAACATGTCATCATGTCAGCCTCTCTGTCATTTTAAGATGGAGCAGCATCTGTCTCCAAGTCTCTCCTCTGTGTCTTAACATTTAAAAGTACACCTATTTATACCTTAGGTGTCTCCATTTTACTTTTTTCAATTTAGGACCTCCCTTAACTTGGCAAACATACAAGGCCATAACTAAAGGGTGCATACATCATGGAAATTTTCACACTAGGATAAAAGAGAGATCAATCGGGGCATTAGGTCCTCAATTTAACTCTAATTTGCTTCTCTAAGGGCTTGCGCAGCCACATCTTACAGAAATTAGCAATGTGGTCTGGAGCGTTGGTGCCAAATTATCCTAGGGTCAAAGAGTGGGAGACCAGAAGCATCCAGGAGGATGTCTGAAGAAGGCTCTTTGGACTTAGAGTTACCCGAGTCTGTACCATTGGAATTTTTAGTAATAAAGGTTTCCTTTTTTACTGATGTTTAGGAATCTTTAAGCACATTCGCCGGAAGATCCTCATCAGAATAGTTGGCACCATAGTCATCCATCAGGTGACCAGCTAGACGGTAAGTGAAGCCCTCTAGAGGGTCTAGAGCAAGCATGTCAAACTCAAAGGCTAACACGGGCCAAATAAACAAGGTTGAAATTTATGTGGGCCACAAAAAAAAACAAAAGCTTCAGTTTTCATAGAAACCTAGGTTGATTTGGAAAAGTATGGTATAAAAAAGTCACCTCACTGATACTGGACGTCCTCACACTTGTAGGACTTCAAAGTAAGCAAAAGAGCTAATTTCTTTTCATGAGATGAGCAATGTTTCACTCCAACTACCTTGACATATTAAGAAAAGTTTGGTAATGGGACTGAAATGGTGAATGTATGCTGTTGCACAGCTGTAAAAAACAAATGTCGTTATCTTGTTGATTTCGAAGTCCTATGAGTGTGTTTTTCACTTTGGCTGAGATCATCAAACTTGATGATCTCAGCCAATCCAATGCTTTCCCATAGAAATGCATTAGAAGGCTATTGTGCATGTGTGGGGAAAACGCTGTGCGGCCAATCAGCATCTCCATGGGGAGCGTTCAGCGTTATGGCGCTAGGCCGCAGCCTAGGGAGAAATAACTATCCCTAGACAAGCTGGGTCCCAGTGGCCTTCTCTCTACTGCTACGCAGGTAGGGTTCCCAAGTGGTTTCTTTTACCATGTCTAGCCAACAATCTGGTCACAGAACTCAATCTTGATTGGCTGGTTTAGCTTATGGTAGCTTGTCTTTACTCAGCATAGCGCACCCTCCCCTATTAATATAGTTTACTGTTCAGCAACTCTTCACTAATGTATAAGGTCTCTCTCGTAGCTATACATAATGGCCTTGCTTGCACATGCCTTCATTTAAGCCATGTTGTTTTTAGTGCTGAGTAGGTTGTGTGCATGTTTTATTAACCTCTCTCAGCATGTCTAGCCTGTGTTTAGCAATCTACCGTCATTTACCCTACTCTATGTCTTGCTAGCATGAATATATATCTTGATACTATTGATTAAAAAAAATTTATTTTTTAAAAAGTGCAGTAAATCAGACATATGACGTATTTAACTAGTTGATATTTTATGATGATACCTTCTGCAATGTCTCTGTTCATATGTGAAATATGCTAAGCACTACAAAAATAAGGAATTAAAAAAAACAAAACACCAGTATGTGTTTGATTAATAGAAAGTGGGGGTCACCCACAAAAACCCGTTAAATTTAAGCAAGCAGGTCTTTATTCAGAAGGAAGAATAATCAGAAAATCAGAACCTAGATAATAATGTATAGCCTAATATTAGAAAGGTAATGTTGAAACATGAGGTAAAAACGTATCACAGTTTTAAAATGGAGCGAAGATGCCCACAGTTCTGTCCTTTATTAGCGCCGGTAAAACGGAGGACAGACAAAGTATGGCCACTGTGAGTACAGGGAGGCGGGAGATCGCGTCAGAGCTTACCTAGAATTCAGTAAGGCTTTTGACACTGTTGCACATAGAAGGCTTATCAATAAACTGCAATCTTTAAGTTTGGATTCCAATATTGTTGAATGGGTAAGGCAGTGGCTGAGTGACAGGCAACAGAGGGTTGTAGTTAATGGAATATATTCGAAGCTTGGACTTGTCACCAGTGGGGTACCTCAGGGATCTGTACTTGGACCCATTCTCTTTAATATTTTTATTAGTGATATTGCAGAAGGTCTTGATGGTAAGGTATGTCTTTTTGCTGATGATACTAAGATATGTAACAGGGTTGATGTTCCAGGAGGGATAAGCCAAATGACAAATGATTTAGGTAAACTAGAAAAATGGTCAGAATTGTGGCAACTGACATTTAATGTGGATAAGTGCAAGATAATGCATCTTGGACGTAAAAACCCAAGGGCAGAGTACAGAATATTTGATAGAGTCCTAACCTCAACATCTGAGGAAAGGGATTTAGGGGTGATTATTTCTGATGACTTAAAGGTAGGCAGACAATGTAATAGAGCAGCAGGAAATGCTAGCAGAATGCTTGGTTGTATAGGGAGAGGTATTAGCAGTAGAAAGAGGGAAGTGCTCATGCCATTGTACAGAACACTGGTGAGACCTCACTTGGAGTATTGTACACAGTACTGGAGACCGTATCTTCAGAAGGATATTGATACCTTAGAGAGGGTTCAGAGAAGGGCTACTAAACTGGTTCATGGATTGCGGGATAAAACTTACCAGGAAAGGTTAAAGGATCTTAACATGTATAGCTTGGAGGAAAGACGAGACAGGGGGGATATGATAGAAACATTTAAATATATAAAGGGAATCAACACAGTAAAGGAGGAGACTATATTTAAAAGAAGAAAAACTACCACAACAAGAGGACATAGTCTTAAATTAGAGGGACAAAGGTTTAAAAATAATATCAGGAAGTATTACTTTACTGAGAGGGTAGTGGATGCATGGAATAGCCTTCCAGCTGAAGTGGTAGAGGTTAACACAGTAAAGGAGTTTAAGCATGTGTGGGATAGGCATAAGGCTATCCTAACTATAAGATAAGGCTAGGGACTAATGAAAGTATTTAGAAAATTGGGCAGACTAGATGGGCCGAATGGTTCTTATCTGCCGTCACATTCTATGTTTCTATGAGGATGGGAGGGAGACTGTCAAGAGGCGCAAAAATCGCGCCATGGTCTCACTGGGAAATGTAGTCCGCGGCTGTGGGAAGGCGGGTCGAGAGAGAGGCCGGGAAAAACATTGCAGAAGTGGGAACCCCGCAGGCTGCTATAAAAACGACTCGCCGAGAACTAAATCAATTGCACAGATAAGATAGGCATAGAAAAGTTATACAAAAAGAAGAAAAACGTAGGCTAGGTATAACAAAGACAAATTATGTACAAAAAACAAAAAAAGGTTAGAGAAAAATACAGTAATATATACATAGAAAATATAAACAACTCTGAACCATTAGAAGGCAGAATTTTAAAATAAAAGTTTAATAAAAGTGAACATATAAAAACTAAATTCAT